TGTGTTTTGTTTGCAGGAATATCCACCATGAAGCCCTGCTCTGCTATAGAAGCCACACCCATATAATTGGCTGTTTGTGCGGCCCAGGCTTTCGGATCACACAGCCAGTTGGGACCTAAGTTTGCTCACGGTATCTCAGCCAGCTGACGTTTTTTTGTTGTTGTTGTTGCTGCTGCGGGGGATTGCAAAGTGAGATGAGATTTCCTCGCATTTGTTATATTTATGAATCGCTTTTCCCTGCGGGGCTGCATTTTGCCAACCGCTTTAACTGTGACACCTTCCCCTGAATGGAGACGTGACAGCGAACAGGCCTGACGCATGACGCAGGGCAACGGGGGTGCTCACGAGGGTCGCTGGCGGCACGGATGGGCGAATTCTTTATTCGTGTGGGGTCAGTATTGTCCCTCTGACACTCTGTCTTGGAGGAAGGTGACATACGGTCTGGAGGTCACCAAGCAGCACCAACACGGTGAATTTATCAGATGGCCACCGGGGCCCTTGGGGAGAGTCTCACGACACGCTTTGTATTTCTCAGGAAAGACTCTGGCAGGAAGTGCAGGATAACACTAATGATTATGTGTAATCACAGCCCTAGTGGAGCTCAGTCCCCTCTCTGCCCCCCCAATACCCCCCAGGACACATGTTGAGTCACTGATGCACGTCAGCACCTCAGACAGAGTCAGCCTTACCAAACGATGATTAGCATTTCGCAGCCCATAATATAACGGCTCGGACAAGCTGGAAGTCTTTTAAATGAGGATTTTTTGTAATAAGGATGTTTTGTTTTTTTGAGAAGTGACTGTGGGAACAGCCACTGTGAGCTGATGGCCACTTCCAGGCATGACGACCTTCATCCAATAGCCACCTCCAGCACGGTGATGTCAGAGCTTGTGACATGTTCAATTTCTCATCTGATGTGATCAACCAACAGACTGACCAAACTTCCATCCATCCCTGCACAGTCTCGGCTGATCATAAACCAGGTGAAGGCATTTGGCAGGTTGCTTCTTTAATATTAATCATGGTTTAATGGTAGCCTTTAAGATTTAAGGTTGTATTCTCACATGCTACGCTCTCTTGATGCTCTCTCTCGATGCTCACATGCAACTCTCTCTTTCAATGTTCATATGCAACACTCACACACGACGCTCTCTCGACGCTCACATACGACACTCTCGCTCAACGCTCACATACAATGCTCTCTCTTGACACTCACACACGACGGTCTCTCGACGCTCACACACGACGCTTTTTCTCGACGCTCACACACGACGCTCTCTCGCGATGCTCACATATGACTCTCTCTGCGTTCACATACGATGCTCTCTCTCAACGCTCTCTCTTGATGCTCACACACGACGCTCTCTCTCAAGGCTCACATGTAACGCTCTCCCTCAACGCTCGCATACGACGCTCTCTCTCGACATTCACATACGACGCTCTCTCTCGACATTCACATACGACGCTCTCTCTCAATGCTCAATCTCAGCGCTCACATGCAACGCTCTCTCTCAACATTCACATATGACGGCTCTCTCTCTACATTCACATACGACGCTCTCTCTCAATGCTCAATCTCAGCGCTCACATGCAACGCTCTCTCTCAATGCTCTCTATCAACGCTCTCTATCAACGCTCTCTTTTGCCGTCCTGCCTACTTTTGGACCCACCAGTCCCCACAAGCCTTCGCATTCACACCCCATCTGTGACTTTGCCGCTTACTGGGAGTGCAGAGGAGGGTGCGTAAGGCTCCAATCTGCCCATTCCTTCCACGCTCTGGCCCAGCTGTCCCCCTGGCGCTCTCTCACATTCCTTTACCTGTTTCCATAGCAGCCATTCACTCAGTAGGTGGGTGGGGCCCTCAGCACGCTGTGCGGTGATGTCACACCTCACACAGAGATACACTTCGTATTCAGCACAGCAGCACCCAGCTCCTGTGGCACGTTTGTGTTTTAGCGGCTGATTGAGATGTATTTGGTTTAGTTTCTAATAGGGGCTCATTAACACATGTTCAGGTTCCTGATTATATAAACACCTTAACATGTAAGACTGACCTCAGACTGATAACATGATTACTGACCCGGTGTGGATTCTTGGGGGCGGGGCACCCCCAGCAAGGCATTAAACCCCCCCCCCATACATGTCAAACCTCAGTGTTTATCTCACATAAAAGAGCCCCCCCCCAGACGGCAGGTTTCCTCGGTCGACACAGCATACGACACCATCGTGTGTGCCTGTGCAGCGTTCAGCCTTTTGTGACACGCTGCTTCCCAGTCAGCCCCATCCCCAGCGAGTGATCGAGTCACACCAACACCAAGATGCTACAGGCTAGTGTGCTAATGGGTTCTTACTGGGCTGGGCCCAATCATACATCAGTGGTCGGGTTATGGATCAGGACCAGAGGGTCACTGTGGCCCTAAGGAAAGCCCTCCATGTGCACGACTCTGTAATTGAGTAAAATACTCAAAATAAATGTGTTAAATATTTAAATCATACGTACATAGCTTTTAATCCAGCTTGTACCTGAGAGAGTATTACCAGTCCACCACATGGGGGCAACGTCTAGACCTCCTCAGCACCTTTTGGGATCTTTCCTTCATTCCGGTTGTTAGTTTGATCCCCTTCTCACATCAGTTTGTGTGTCTGAATCGCGCCTCTTTCCTGGACTCCAGCCTTGTGATTTGCATGTGAAATACCGAGCACTGGTAGCTCATTATCAGTCTGACTACAAGAGCATCTGCAGTGTCTCCACCAAGATTCCAGTGACTTTATTCCCTGCTTGTATATATTGACTTTTATCGAAGAAGAAAGCATGCAGATTCCAAACTGCGTGTGTTGGGGGTGGTGATTCTGGCTGCGATGGGGGTCAGTGACTATCGCGGGATTACACGGTACAATTACAGCGTTAGACAGCTGGTATTAAAGGTCTCCCAGTGCCTGTCCGCACTGTCGAAGATGATTAACTTATGGGAAACTCGTCACCGATGTCAGATCACAGACAGCTGGGTAAATCTGCATGGCAAACTCATAAATGACCAGAAGAAAAGATGAAGATTAATTACAGGAGCTAATTAATGTGAGGGAAAGCTCCAGCGGAGGCTGTATATTAGCACATATTTAAGGCTTCTGCTGATCTATTCCATGGCAGGCCAGGGTCCCGGCTTCGTTCATATGAATCATAAACCTAAATCGAATTAACCAGGTCTCCTCTGAGCTTAATGTCTGCTGGAATTCTGGTGCTGATTCATGTACCAGGGAAAAACGAGTCTCTTAAATCACTGCATTTTTTCATAAAGTTCACCAGGGAAACATATTTTAACTTCAGTCAGAGTAATAAGCCGCTTGCTTGCTGTTGGGCTTTTCAGGTGGCTTTGACCTCAGCTGAAATTCATCCCGTCCCATTAGGTGACCCAAGGAAAGCATGAAAGCTGCCTTTCATTTGCGCTTTAATCTGACTTAATCCCTCAGAAGGTACCGGAACGCTCAGCCCGCACTCAGGGCTTCAGATACTGTCTTTGATGGGGCTCGACCACTGAAAGGCCGCACTGTGTCGAATGGGGTCCCTCTCCCCCAATAGTCACTCGGCGTCAGGGACATGCAGAGGAATTCCAGTAGCTGAAATGTAAAATGCTGCTGGGGGGGCAGGCAGACACCCGAAAGGGCACTTTGTTATGGGAAAGAGTAAAAGTCAGCACAAGGGGCAACAGGTGACCGATAAACCTATTTCACCAACCAGAATAACTGACATCTAACCAAATTAACCAGCCAAAATACCTGACTGATAACAATATTAACTAACCAAAACAGACAAATAATACAATCAGCAGTAATAACTGACAGATGACATGATTAACTGACTGTAATAGCTAACAGCATGATTGGCCAACCAAAATAACTAACAGATAACAAGACTGACTACCCAGAGTAGCTGTCAGGTAACCTGAGGGTAGCCAGACTGGCTTAGCTCACTTGGCTGCGGGTTCGATTGCTAAATGCACATCCTTGGCTAACGGCCAAGCAAGAGGGGGATCAGTGGCCACCGGGAGAGAGGATGAGCCCACAGCAAAGCCCTCTGTCAGTTTGCATTACCACAGGCAGTGGCGCCCCACAGTGGCGAGCATGGGGAATGCAATGGGTCTTACACACGCACACCCGGCAGTCTCTTGCCGGCACTTGTGGCTCTCATTCTGATAACACTGATGGCTGTGCGGCCAATTTCACATAAGATTTACTGCGGCATCTCGGGACTGCATGTCTGGTGAATTGTGTATAGAAACAAAGATGCGCACGTCTCTATAAGCGATGGTCTCCTCCAGATGTGTGCAGTGCCACGCGGCAGAAGCTGCCGTGGAGGGTGAGGGGGCCTGGTGTGCAGAGGGAGGGGCAGTGTGCATAAGAACATAAGAACATAAGAAAGAGGGCCCATCAGATGCCATCCTACCAGGAGATATTTCCGCCGACGTTGTTGAGGCATTGGGGCTTTCAGGCCCCCAGCACGGCTTCCAGATGCTTTGACGAATTCACAGCTGAATGGCAGATAATTAGCAGTGCGGGGGCCAGGTCACACTGTGGTCCTCTTCTCCTCTATGAGGGCTTTTTCTGAGCGAGGCTTTTCCCTCTTTAGCAAACTTGGCAATTAAACTGACAGAAGCTCTGGAGCTCATTGGAGGTGGGAGGGAACTGTTTGTTACGGAAAGTGCCGGAAGCGCTCATCAGAGTCACTGTAATTAATGGGTCCGATGGCCCCCTGGGGGCCTCGCCACCAAAGGCAGGCACACGGGAAGGTCATGGGAACACAGGAAGGTGACAGCCGTACTGCTGCCATGGAAACTGGCAGAGCATGACTCTATGTGATCTGAAGGTCTCAGCGAAAATACAAGGCTGGGGCCTCTACAGAACAGCCATCATCACGTCAGGCTGTTTGAAACGTCCACCAGGGTCACTTGGGGTGAGGGGGTTGTCCAGGTTAAGGTCCTTAATCCACATGTTTCTCTCCACAGCTGGACGCAGACAGAGATGAAGAGGAGGTCTTCTACGACATCAGCGTGACTGTCGACAGCAGGCTCTTCCCCACCAAGGAGCCTGTTGCCGGTAAATCCCATGAACCGTCATGCATGTTAAGGTGCATCCTGGGATCAGCCATCCATCCATCCATTATCTCCCGCTTGTCCGAGGTTGGGTCGCGGGGGCAGCAATCTCAGCAGGGAACCCCAGACTTCCCTCTCCCCAGCCACTTCATCCAGCTCCTCCGGGGGAATCCCGAGGCATTCCCAGGCCAGCCGAGAGACATAGTCCCTCCAGCGTGTCCTGGGTCTTCCCCGGGGCCTCCTCCCAGTGGGACATGCCCGGAACACCTCACCAGGGAGGCGTCCAGGAGGCATCCTAATCAGATGCCCAAGCCACCTCATCTGGCTCCTGTCGATGCGGAGGAGCAGCGACTCTACTCTGAGTCCCTCCCGAATAACTGAGCTCCTTACCCTATCTATAAGGGAGAGCCCAGCCACCCTGCGGAGGAAACTCTTTTCAGCCGCTTGCACTCGCGATCTCGTTCTTTCGGTCACTACCCACAGCTCGTGACCATAGGTGAGGGTAGGAACGTAGATTGACTGGTAAATCGAGAGCTTTGCCTTTTGGCTCAGCTCCTTCTTTACCATGACAGACCGATGCAGCGCCCGCATCACTGCAGACGCCGCACCAATCCACCTGTCGATCTCCCGTTCCATCGTCCCCCCAATCGTGAACAAGACCCCGAGATACTTAAACTCCTCCACTCGGGGGAGGACCCCATCCCTAACCCGGAGAGAGCATTCTACCCTTTTCTGGCTGAGGACCATGGTCTCAGATTTGGAGGTGCTGATTCTCATCCCAGCCGATGAGGCCAACAGAACCACATCATCTGCAAAAAGCAGAGACCTAATCCTGAAATCACCAAACCTGACACCCTCATACAGGGACCGAACAGCCCTTAAAAGGAAGCCCGGCACCCCATACTCCCAGAGCACCCCCCACAGGACTCCCCGAGGGACACGGTCGAATGCCTTCTCCAAGTCCACAAAACACATGTAGACTGGTTGGGCAAACTCCCATGAACCCTCCAGAACCCTGTGGAGAGTATAGCGCTGGTCCACTGTTCCACGGCTGGGGCAAAAACCACACTGCTCCTCCTGAATCTGTGGTTCGACAATCCGGCGGACCCTCCTCTCCAGAACCCCCGAATAGACCTTACCAGGGAGGCTGAGGAGTGTGATCCCCCTATAGTTGGAGCACACCCTCTGGTCCCCCTTCTTAAAGAGGGATACCACCACCCCGGTCTGCCAGTTCAGAGGCACTGCCCCCGATGTCCACGCGATGCTGCAGATGTGTGTCAACAAGGACAGCCCCACAGCATCCTGAGCCTTAAGGTACTCCGGGCGGATCTCATCCACCCCCGGGGCTCGGCCACCGAGGAGCTTTTTAACCACTTCAGCGACCTCTGCCCCAGAGATAGGGGAGTCCACACCCAAGTCCCCATACTCTGCTTCCACATTGGACGGCGTGTCCGTGGGATTGAGGAGGTCTTCGAAGTACTCCTTCCACCGACCCAAAATGTCTCAAGTTGAGGTCAGCAGCACCCCATCCCCACCATAAACAGTGTTGATGTTGCACCGCTTTCCCGCCTGGAGCCGCCGGATGGTGGATCAGAATCGCCTCGAAGCCGTCCGGAAGTCGTTTTCCATGACCTCGCCAAACTCCTCCCACACCCGAGTTTTTGCCTCAGCGACCGCCGAAGCCGCATCCCGCTTGGCCTGCCGGTACCTGTCAGCTGCCTCTGGAGTCCCACAGGCTAAAAAAGCCTGATAGGACTCCTTCTTCAACTTGACGGCATCCCTCACTACTGGTGTCCACCAGCGGGTTCGGGAATTGCCGCCGCAACAGGCACCGACCACCTTACGGCCACAGCCCCGGTCAGCCGCCTCCACAATGGAGGCACGGAACATGGCCCATTCGGACTCAATGTCCCCCGCCTCCCCCGGGACATGGGAGAAGTTCTGCCGGAGGTAGGAGTTGAAACTCCCCCTGACAGGGGATTCCGCCAGACGTTCCCAGCAGACCCTTACTATACACTTGGGCCTGTCAGGCCTGGCCCGCTTCCTCCCCCACCAGCGGAGCCAACCCACCACCAGGTAGTGATCAGTTGACAGCTCCGCCCCTCTCTTCACCCGAGTGTCCAAGACATGCGGCCGCAAGTCCGATGACACGACTACAAAGTCGATCATCGAACTGCGGCCTAGGGTGTCCTGGTGCCAAGTGCACATATGAACACCCTTATGCCTGAACATGGTGTTCATTATGGACAATCCGTGACGAGCACAGAAGTCCAACAACAGAACACCACTCGGGTTCAGATCGGGGGGGCCGTTCCTCCCAATCACGCCACTCCAGGTCTCACTGTCATTGCCCACGTGGGCATTGAAGTCCCCCAGCAGAACAAGAGAGTCCCCAGGAGGAGTGCTCTCCAACACCCCTTCCAAGGACTCTAAAAAGGGTGGGTATTCTGAACTGCCGCTTGGTGCATAAGCGCAAACAACAGTCAGGAGGCTACCCTCTCGTCCACTGCGGTAAACCCCAATGTACAGGCGCCCAGCCAGGGGGCAATAAGTATGCCCACCCCTGCTCAGCGCCTCTCCCCGTGAGCAACTCTTTGGATCGGACCGCCAAGGTCCCCGCCTTTGGTCACTGCCCAGCTCACTTCGCACCCGATCCCTATGGCCCCTCCTATAGGTGGTGAGCCCATTGGAGGGGGGACCCACGTGCTTTGTTCGGACTGTGCCCGACCAGGCCCCATGGGTATAGGCCTGGCCACCAGGCGCTCGCCATTGAGCCCCGCCCCCAGACCTGGCTCCAGGGGGGGGGGGCCCGGTGACCCACGTCCGGGCAAGGGAAACCGTGGTTCCATTATTTTGTGCATTGATGGAAATCCCAGAGGAGGGATGACATCACCGCAGTGGGCACTAAGCGAGCCGGCTGCCCGTACTGCCTGATTGGGTGGCTGAGCTCAGGTTAGTGAGCAGCGTTGAGTCTGCACACCCATGGGCTCTGCTGGGGGCTGAACGGCAGCTCACTGAAGCAGCAGGGGGGTGGGGGAGTGGCTCTCCTCATTCTTCACACAGACGAACTGACCTTGGGTCAGTTTTTTGCTGGTCGCTGCGTGTCTAAGTGCTACAGCTCAGAGGATGTCTAACTGAGGTAGGCATGGTGCTGGGGAAAAGCTTGTGAGACAGAGGATGTGTTTCTGGGGAGACATACCAGAGATTTTACAGTTGGAGAGTGCGTTTCCAAGGAGACATATTAGAGATTACACGGTCAGACGATGCGTTTCCAAGGAGACATTCCTGAGATCATGCAGTTGCAGTATACGTTTCCGAGGAGACATACCTGAGATTATGCAGTTGCAGTATACATTTCCGAGGAGACATACCTGAGATTATGCAGTTGCAGTATACGTTTCCGAGGAAACATACCTGAGATTATGCAGTTGCAGTATACGTTTCCAAGGAGAAATGTCAGAGAATTTACTGTCTATGCACAAGAGTGGCAATGCCTGCTGTTCAGCTGCCTGCTGACAGAACTTCCATAATTCCCTGCTTCACACTGACCTGTGTGTTTTGTGCTTTAGATAGTGTGGAAACCCTGCCCTACTTACTAGCTGTTTATACACTGCACTGTGGTTCTGGGAGAATGTCATTTTGTGCCTCTATATACATGTATATGGATGGTATGAAAATAAAGCCCATTTGATCTTCACTTGTGCGACTAGAATGTTCTGCTGGTTCAGGATCTTTCCCAAGGACCCTGCAGATCTGGACTCGCAGAACACAACAGCCTGTCATTCCAGTCGCTTTTTGAAACCCCAGGTCATCGCGTTGACTCTCGGCATTGTAAAAGCCTTCCTGTGTTATTTTGCATCTTTCAGATGCACCCTTGGTCCTTGGTGTCCTAAAATAACCGGGAGCAGGTGGTGCCAGTGCTCTGCTGGTGGGGTCCAGCTGCCCTCTGAACCCAACCGCCCTTCCGAAGGTCTTTAAAAGACCAGGATACTAGGAGGATTTCAGGCGTCTTGTTGTTTCCCAGAGTCTGTGCCCTACATTCCTCAGCAGTGGGTCACGTATGGGAACTGAGAGCTTTGTGGTCCCACCATCGTCCTGCTGCTGGTTTTACATAATCTACTCAAATCACAACATACCAAAACACAAATCCTGACAGCTGCATTGTAGGAAACTGCAGCCTGAAACTCTCCTTATATGCAAAGCATCCATGCTTCCAAAACTGCTTTCTGCTCACCCTTCTGCCTGTGACGTCTCTCCTGTGTGCCCTGCTGCTGTACCAATGTTCATCCTGCCATCAGAAGCAGCACCAGCACCTGCCAGCCATCACCTGCCTGCCATCACCTGCCTGTCCCCCTGCTTTGAAAGTCTAAACTTAAAATTTGGACTGTGAGAATTGGGACTGTAAAGCACTTTAGGACAATGTAATGTTGTGAAAATGCGCTATACAAATCGAAATTTTGCAGAACAGGGTCGCAGCTCATTAATATTCCGAGGCTGCCCAGGAACACGGGCCTGATGCAGCAAGGCCAAGAGCTGGTCTTCTCAAGACAGACACTGAGATACGAAACAAAGCCTGAGATTCAAGTGAAAGTATTTATGTCACCACGCATCTAAATATATATCTCACCCATTTCAGTATTTTTGCTGAACGAGAGGCTTTATTTAGAAACAGCATGAAGAATTCGACCCAGAGTCAGTGTGTGTTCGACATGCTAAACGATCCTTATGCTCCCTGGCTAACAAACGAGCCCCAAAGCCCAGCGCGTCCCTGACACCCCAGCGGCTCCGGGGCCCCCCTGCCAGCCAGTGCCCTCCTCCTCTCAGCCCTGTCTTAATTATGTCAGTATCTGCACTGTAATTAATTCACTGTTATGCAACTAATTTCTAATTTCCACAAGCTCTGCCCGTGACAGTGACAAAGCGGAGGCTGATCTCTCACTGCGGGCCCATTAACGGACACAGCGCGCCAGCTCCCGTCCCGCCGAAGCGCTGTCCTCCGAAACCCGTCATGTGACTCGCGATTCCAGCCCTGCTTATCCACTTTTCTGCTGACTGTCCTCCTTTCTGCTGCTGAGTCAATTCTTTACAGTCTTACTTCCATATGCAGCTCTCTGCCTACAAAGAGTCTGGCAGGGAAAGTCACGGAAGGTCACAGAAAGTTACGGAAGGTCACGGAAGGGCAAGGCAGGCATCACAGATATTGCATACTGCTAAAATGAAGCATGATGCACAGAATCAGAATGCTAGGAGCGTCTTTCAGCATTCTGACAGAAGGCTCTGGAACCCTCATGGTCTGGGAATGCTGGGAGACATGCATGCTCATCTGCCCAAAGTCGGAATGGCTGACTACATAAAGCTGTAGAACAACTGCAGAAAACCCCCGACGACACCCAGGAGCCCTAAGAATCCAACAGTGAACAAGATGAAAACAAAAGCTGTTCATTTTCATCAGTGCTTTACAGTCACTGGGTACATTTAGAGCATATTGACGATTCCGAGCAAGAACAATTCAGTGGTGTTTTGCTATTTAATTTTTTAATTTAAAATTCCCTCCTCCCAATCTGAGCTGGCAGCCACTTTAAGTCTTTAGCAGCCTTTCTGAGTTCTGTGCCCCACGCTTTGTCAAAGCGGATCTTGTTGTGTTCCTCCAGGTCCCAGTGAGCTGGACCTCAGTCTTCTGGTGGAGTCCACTGGTGTGGGAGACACGGTCCCCGAATTCGAGGAGCAGGTAATGGATCCAGAGGCCCCATCCGCCACAAACACTGCCGTTCATGCCATGAAATCTTTGGATTTTAAAACCTTAAACCATGACATTGTTGGAACACAATGAGGCAGTAAAATGGCCAGGGCAGCCAGACAGGAAGTAAGGTACAGGAAGTGAGGTCATTATTATAAATGCCAAGCTATGATCATAAATGTACAGGTTCGCAGGACCAGATTCGTGAATAGCTCAGGTTTTCAGAGAAAAACACAACAAGAATAAGAGCCCACATGCATGACGTATGCAAGGAGGAGTTATGGCGCCTCCTACAGGTATCCAGCCAATACAGCATGAGGCCTGATGCTCACACACAATATTTCTTGTCTAAACTGGTCACCAACCACATGAGGTCGTGCGTCAGTCAGAGAAACATGTCATCCTGGATGGAGCAAACGGGCATTTGAGACAAGGGGTCTGAGCTGTGGAGACTGGCTGAAACCCAGCCAAAGCCAATCAGGACTGGTGAGCTGGCTACATTTCCATCTGTGAAATTGTGAAGTGTTGCAGAGCTGTTCTTGCACATTGAAGAGCCCCAGGATAATGCAGAGCGCATCCCTGCGGGTCTGAAATCCACTCGCTCCTCATCGTCTCAGTGGTCCCTGGAGCCCCTAGTGGTGCGGAAGCAGCACACCAAGGGAGCGGGCCGTTGGCAACGCTGCAGAGAGGCGGCTGTCACTCACCAGCCACTGTCCCCCCCATGAGTGACAGCTCACTGTCACACGCCCACAGAGGCGTCTGAAAGGCTCCTCTCTCGCTGTGCTTCCAGCTCCAATCCAGCGGGACAAAGACAATCTCGTCAGGGTCCTCAAGACAGTCAGACTGTCATATGATTCCGATTAAGATACAGCGCTGCTGATCCCTGTGAGGGGAAGGTACCAGAAACACAAGAGAAACTGAGAAATAAATACAACAAACAGATCATATGCATGTATGAGTACAAATAAACTATAGACACAGAGGAAAATCTGTAATAAACATAAAAATAATGAATTTAAAGAACAAATAAGAGGGCTGTGCAAAAAACGTGCTACTAGGGTAGATATAGGAATTGAATTTCACGTTTTTACAAGCAGTGATTATAATGTGCGGTATGACGCAGTCAGTATTAGTAACTCACCCAGTGCGAGCTCTTCTGTCTACGCGCCTCAGTTAATGTTACCGTATCAGTGCTGGGGGCCAGTCGGCCCCCAGGCCGGTCACTGGAACCTCACAGGCATCTCTCAAACAGCAGCGATGGGAGCTTCTGAGTAAACAAGAAGAGCACCTCTAGTTGCGGCCGCAGATCTACAGGAATCCTCTATGCATGCAGCTATTTCTATGAGTGCTGGGAGGTGCTGCTGCTGCTGTAAGCGTGTCCCCGATTCACAGCGCTCCCCAATCCCGCCAGACTTTCCACCATGCAGCTACAGGACGCTCTGTGCGGCACTGTAACAATCCAGGGATCTACTCCGTGTTTTTACTCTGACACAGCAGCTCGCCGTCAGTCGGACGCCCTTCCGATGTCACGCCCCCTGCTGCGTGCCTTTGTTTGCTTCCGATGGCCCCAGCTGTTTTCGGTGTCACTGTAGTTTTGCTGTCTGATATTTGGCCTACGTGCAGACATGACATCAGCATGAACAGTGCAGTCTTAGTGACAGGTGACCTTATGAGGAATCGCTCAGTTCACAGAATTAAAGGTCGGCTTTTTCAGTGGAGACATGAAATAAAGAATCACAATAAGAAAAGAGTTTTGTTTTCTGAGCTTCTGTTTCCGGTCCATTGTCGCGGGAGATGTTTACCAACACTGTAAACGGTGATTTCAGAGTCCGCAAGGGGGCTGTCATGGGAGCCGTCTCTCACAGACAGCGCCCTCTGGTGGAGCCGTGGCAGACGAGTCGTGCTTGTGTGTTTTCAGGATGAGGCGTGAACCAAGATCTTTCCCGGACGGGGATGCAGGCATGGCACTTGCGTGGCGGAAAGCTGCACACGCCTGTGACGGATTTGGCCCTAAAGGGGCCACAGACAGACTTCCAGCTCGTTAATTAGACTCAAGCGAAGCAGGACAGGCCCCGAGGTTAAATAGCCAGTGGAGCCACAGGGGGAGGGCAGCACAGAGCCCCCATGCACAAGGACCGCTCACTGCCCTCAGAAGCACGCCCAGGGTGCCCGGCCTCACCAGCGGTGACTCAGTGCCTAACCAGTAACATATCCTGTTTAATTCACTCATCACTAAGTGACTCATCATCTGTGAAGCAGAGGATGTGTCACCAGTTAGGATGGAGAGCTTTGTCAGCCTGTCAGAGGGACCCGGCTGCCTGCCCTGCCTCTCCGTGTCTGTGGTCTTTGCCAATCCTCCTCACTCTCCCTCTCACACTCTCTCTCTGTGACTCAGCCAGCCTGCTGGCACTGCCCACAGACCAGACTGCTCATCATTGGCGCCGCTGCCATGTACCACGCACACGCACACACACGCACACACACACACACACACACACCCACCCTACAGCGCCTGTGTCCTTCATATCCAGCACTTCTGTCCCCTTAGACAACAGAGCCAAGCTTAATATAAACTCCTTTTGCAAACCGGCTTCACTGCTCACTGGTAAACTAATTCATTCTATACAGTCATATTAGTTACTGGGTCACAGAATTCTAGCAGTGCCGTCAAAGCAGTGGGTCAAAGGTCACATAAACACGGAGCGTCACTTCCTGCCTGATCTTCCTTCGCTCTCTCCCTGTCTCGCAGGCCGAAGACGACACGGCTGGTTATGCTGAGGAGAGTGCTGAAGGTTGGTGAGGAGCTGTGCATGCCGAGGGAGGGGCCTTATCCTAGACTTCTTTTGGTCACGTTACAGATAATCCCTCCCACCCTCGCATCTCACATTGTGGTGATGGATTTAGCAAGGTGGCGCTGTTCAGCTGCCCTGTGCCACCTGTCCGATGACCTTCTCTCCATTGCAGGTTTCCCGGAGGAGATGAAAAAACCAAGGATCATCTTTGTAGTCGGTGCGTTTGGGGAGGCTCTCCCCGTTTATCTGTCACGAAAGCGGTGAATTGAGTTTGCATCGGCGGTTAGGGCCGGCGCCACCTGGAGGCAGGGCACAGGCTGCTGGATCTGCTGGGACGTCTTTCAGACGCTCGGGGGGATCTGCACTGGGCACCCTGTGGGCATGTAATTGTTCTTGCAAGAAACTGTCTTCAGCTCCTCGCTGCAGCTTCCCTCACCATGGAAACCGGATTCCTTGCTCGCCGCTTGAGTCCCATGGCTATCTAACGTTAGACGTGAGGAACGTGGCGTCAATGGCGTCACGGGGGGGGGGGGGGGGTAGGGGCCCCGTCAGCACCGCCACGGACAATCAAGGTGTCTAATGAGGTGCAAGGCAAACGCCGCAGCTGGGACTAACGGTACCGCGCGGCGCCTGTCTTTATCAAGCATGTAGACATTGCTAATCATTTGCCTGAAGCTTTAATGAAAGATAAATTTGTTTAGACCCGACCTCACAGACTTATATGAAGTACCGCTTATAAAGCTTCCCACAGTGTATAAGTGAACACTGCTGACGGTCAAGTGCATTGTGGGTTACACCACCATTCATTGATCTGACAGCATTGTGCTTGTCTGGATGAATGTTAGTCTGGCTGCTGGCCATTGATTGGACAGATTTGTTTTTGTTTGGGGGCAGAGGGGGTGGCTTTCCAGGGCTTTCCGGAGTTTTCCGGGAGTTTTCACAATTTCACAGCCTGCTTGGGGTTCCTGGCTGATTCGGGTGCCGGGGAAACGGGGAGAGCAGCCCTTGCAGACACACAGACTCACAAAGGCATCTGAAAGAAGACCGCCCCCTCCCCCCAAAGGGGGAGCCAGTGAGCAGTAGCGGCATGGAGCCCGACCTCCTCTGCAGACTGCTAATCCAGCCCATCGATCGGATTTACGACGCGCCCTGTCTGGGATGCAGCCATCTGGGACCTCATTCTGTTCCCGTTTACTTTGCTGCCCCAGTGTCAGTAAACTCATCCAAAGGCAGCGGGGAGGAGCTTGTCAGATAAACTCAGATGTTATACACGTGTCTCTGAAAATGACACCGGGGGAACACTGGGGTCTATCTGAGGGGGCAGCTTCCCTACATGACTGTGTAAGCCGTCACAGCACTGCGCTGTGTCTCTGTGCCTGCCTGTGCCGGGCCGGCTATGCCTTTAAGCCGTCACAGCACTGCGCTGTGTCTCTGTGCCTGCCTGTGCCGGGCCGGCTATGCCTTTAAG